ATCTGGCCCAAGGGAGCAGGGCAGAGCTCCTTCTACGGGAATCTGCTGCTGTGTTTGGACACCGTCCTGGGCTCCCAAGTGCCAGGCTCCGTGCCCTGCTGGACCTGAGCATCGCAAGTTGCATGTAGTTTAAAATAAGAATATTTTTCACTTTTTCCTAAATTCACTTGTTTTATCAATAAAGGTTACAATGTAAGACCTTAAAAAGATTTTCCACAACAATAAGAGATTTAGTTTTAACCTGATGAAAATAAAGGAAACTCAATTCCTTGTCAACCAGAAGGGGCAAGTTAAGATTCGACATTCTTCAAATTGCAGGCGCGATCCTGAATGCATTCTATGCATTACTTTACTGAATCCTCCGAGTAACTGCATGGCCCAAGTACAATATTTACCCACATGTTACAGACGAGGATTGTGTCCTAAAGAGGTCAAGCATACGTCCTAAGATTGGGATCCAGCTTTCAAACGGGGAGATGGATTCAAAGCCTGGGTTCCTGTGTCATATGGCTTCTCATTCTCAGAAAACTGGTGTAAATTTATCACGAGGAGCATATTTTAATAACTTTAAGCAAGAATCACCACCATGGTGGAAGTGAGAGTACTAAAATATATAAATGTTTCAGTTTTTGTCAATCTGGAATAAGATTATGAGTGAATGTCTCTCTAAGCAGAAGTGCTACCATAGTGCTATCTGTACAGAAATGTGTGTGCATGTGTAACGAGAAAGTGAACTAGTGAGAGCCCTGGCCGAGTGGTACACGTGGTGAGAGCATCATTCCTAGATGCCAAGGTTGCTGGTCCGATTCCGGGTCAAAGGACACACAAGAAGCAACCAATGAACGCATAAATAAGTGGACCAACAAAACCGATGTCTCTCTCTCTCTCTCTCAAAATTCAATAAATAAAAAAATTAAGTAAAAACTAGAGAGAGAAGACAGAAATATTTTAAAACATAAAAAACGCCTCCTTGTACTCATTCTGGATTATAATAATTTGAACAGGTTACCAAAGTACCACAACATAAATCTTAACTACTGCACTAAGGGATATATATTTCATCTCTGCCTTCTTTCCAATTTACTCAGTGTGGAAAATGACATTGGCCTTCCAAAGCCTTAACTTACAGTTGGAACCCTTCCATCTCTGAGTCTTTTTTTAGTGGTGCTGGCCATTAAAATGAATATTTCAGTGGGGCTGGAACAGCCCTATTAGCCTAAGCCAAGCTTTATATGACTTGTGCACTTTAAGAGGTTAATCTTGCCAGCCAGCTTCACTTTGTTCAGGAGTATTAAATGGAAACACTGTAACATTCAAAGAAAAGCAAAGTTCACTGGGTAAGACCCCAATAATATAATGGAGCATAAAACCTCTAGAACTTTTTACCATAGTATTTTATGAAACATATGCACATATTCACTGGAACAGAACCCAATTCAAATGGTTTTGAAGGTCAGTTCGAAGTCACCACACATGTCCTATCATTGGGAGAAATACGTACTCTTTCAAAAGTGCCTGGAACCAGAAGCTTTCTTTCCCTGTTTTATGGTTTATTATCTGTCCAGCAGTATACTATATTGGGGGGAAAGGTCACCTGCTACAGCATGATATCACTTGTAGCCAAACCGTAAAGTTCAGTAAAATCTTCCAAATTTCAGTATAAACAAACCCTTGGGTTGTAGAATGAAAGGAATCACAGAGTATACTTCTAAAAGGAAGTGCTCCTTGAAGTCAAGGGAATAAATGCAAATAAGTTTAAACAACGATCTTATTCTCAACTTTATAACTAATTAGGAAAGTCTTTGATGTTCATGGTTATGAAAGGAGCAAAAGACCCAATTCCTACATTTAAGAGAAGAATGATTTAGAAATGGGCCCGATTACAGCCAACTATTCCTATTATTCTGATGATTCCAAAAAGCTCGAATGCAACTACAATTCTCCTAAGGGGAAGGAAATGAAGGTCCGGTTTGCATGACAAAGGTCAGATTTCTGCAGGCGAATGAGACTTCCACTGCTGACTGTTTTCTAGGTTGTCACTGTTTGGCTGGGTCCAGAGAGGTCACCAGAGGTTCCAAATTGCACGCACTGCTTCAGGGACACCCCTGGGGACACTTTTTAAGGTCATTAAGATGTTCTTACTCTGCTTCCAGCTTTACTTCCTTATATCTTGCTAATCCACACTGGCAATTCAGTACTGATGCAGGTTTAAAAGAAACTAAGTATTTAGTATTATATCAGATCAAAAGATACCAGCCACTCACTTAACAACTTCCTCTAAGATTCAGTTCAATGAAATCCAAGTAGACCACAGAGGATAATAATCTGGCCCATCAGAAAAGCTCGACTCTGTGGTAGCTGTCCTGGTGTTCCCGCTGTCTGATCAAGGCCGCTACTCTAAATTTCTTCTAAAGTGATGTGGCTTCCTGTAAAAACCATCTTTCCCAGTTTCCCCAGTCACCACCTGTGTTTAAGTATGGTAATTTGTTATTGATTACTTTCTTTTGTAATAACTCTTCAGTAACTAAAATACAACAAATGCTTAATTAAAGTTATTATTTAACTGTATTCTGATGCTCTTCTATTTAGTACAAATATATGTCTAAACTTTCTCACAGGGGACTGGAAATACACCAAATGGATTATATTTATGAAAGTTGTAAGAGTTCTGCCTATTTATAATTAATGAAGGGTATCTCTAAAGTATTTTAGACAATGTGTGGGAAACATCTGTATTTAATTATGTCATATTTTTCTTAGGCAATGGGAATTGAATTAAGAAATATTTTGAAGCCCCTACAGAGATACAAAAGTATCAGTGGTTGTTCAAGAACTTTATTGGTACAAGGCTAGAAAATGTTTGGTTTTACAGATCAACTGCCTGACATTTCATAATCATCAGGAAGAAACTTAAAATACTGGGCAAACACAAAAAATAGAAAAGACCAGGGCTGTATCTTTTCACCATTATTATACACTACATAGACAGAAAATGTCTTTCATATTAATACAGATTTGCATAACATTCTATAACATAGATCCCGAGCAGGATTTCTCTTTGAATTTTGTTGAGGATGAGAATTTCTAAAAGAATAAATTAACTGCTCGCTTATTCTTCACAAAGGAAAAATCCTAAACTGTTCTCATGGAAATAGTGGGGCACAAAGTATGGGGTTTTAGTACTTGTCCTACAGTATTAAAAAAAAAAACCACATTTTCTTTCTGGAAGCTTACTGGTTCCAAAGGCCACTTCTTCTGCAGTCAGTTTTCAATCTCCCAGTGGTAAGAATACATTCAAAGGCTGCGCACAGCAGGGCAGAAGTCTTTCTCTGTGAATGTAACTGTATCACTCATCAGTAACCTCCTGCCATAAGGGGGCTTGTGTTTTCTTTCCTTTTAGTGACTCCATGGGCTCTTGGATGGCAGTCACTGCCCCGAGACCTGGGGCCATATTCACATAATCTCTGTCAATCGTTCCTCCACAGGCATTGGTGCAAGTAAATGTCAAGGCTGCAGATCAAAGACCACACGTCCTAAAACTCATGTCCTTTATGGATCAATTTTCATAAACTCTACTCTGTGTTTGAGAAATACAGGGAGGCTCACTCTGTGCTTTCTTCCTTTTATCCCAGAGATGTTTATTTATACAAAAGGCAACCTGATTTGTAGATAATAGTGTGAAATTCTGATGCAATACATAAAACTCATTCTTCCCTTTGCATATCCTTCTTGAAGTATTTTACGATGCCTATTGTTTTCATAGTAGAAATGCAAAAAATCTTTGGGTTATTAAAAAAAGACATGGATTGCTTTGCAATACTGACCACCCTTCCCCAGTTTATGGTACAATAGACAGTAAATAATAAATTCTTGCTCGGGATTGATTTTTATTTTTAAATCTTCATTATACTACAAGTAAATTATTCTTCATTATGCTACAGGTAAATTATGTGATAGAAAATAACTTCAGCATGTGTTTTCACAATGCATTTCCATTGTAATTATTCAGCATTGCTTTGGAAAATAAGTACAATTATTTAAAATCATTTTCTCTTGGTAGAGTCCTTATATAAATTACATCGATCTATACTTCTCCAAGTGGACCTGAGTAAAATACAGTGAAGCAAATTATCTTCTCTGAATACCTTTTCAAATCAATTGCGGATATATCTTTTCTTTTTGATTTGCCACTTTTTCTAAAGAACCATACTTGGAAGAAATCATAAGATGTAAACAAAATGTCGACAAGTGCTATTTATGCTTATATCTTGCTAAAGTTTTAAAATATATTTATTATAGAGGTAAGAGTATATAACATGTTAAATTTGTACATATCAGAGGACTAAAACTAAAGATGTAAAAATAAATAGGCCTTAGAGCCACAGGGCTGCTGACTAAATTCCAACTAGAAGCTTCACTGTCCCAGTTCTCCTAAGTGAATTTTAATATAATTACATGAGATTATTAGGCAGAAAACTTCACTCTGGGTTCTGAGATCTGTGAGACATTAGGCAAGTCACTTACTCAGAAGGTAGCTTTGGCCTTACCTGTTTTTACCACTTAAACAATTAAAATGTAAGGTTTTTGGAATGTGTGAGGAACGAAAAACTCATTATTCTCATGTCTGGGGCAAATGATCGAGGCTCATCAGAAAATCAGACAAACGGGGAAATTATAGAGGTCCTAATTCATGGAAAAGATCAAAATTTTCTGAGAACTCAAATTTTTATTTTCTTTAATTCTACAGCTTACTGCTAGTAAGATAATCTGACTAAAATCCAAATATGATAAACTTTTAAATGAGCAAAGGCACTTCAATTACATACTGAATCCACTGATGAAAAACTAGGTGTGCATGTGTGTGTACCTGTGTGCACACGCCCACAACCACACACCTACTTGGTAATGCAGAGGGCGTAACAGCTCGTAGTCCGATCCTCTGACTTCTTCTAGAGGCCAAACCAAGCACAGGGATGTTACGGCAGAGCAAACCAACTTACCAGTTTTCCGAAGGGGGAAGTCGTCCTTTGCGTCTTGTGCTCCTGGTAATGTGTATTTGTAGGATGGAGATGTTCCACTCAGGGGTGGAGAGCTTTGATCCAATGATGTATGGTGGGCAGCCCTGCAAGAGAAAAGGAGGGTTCACCATTTGCACTGGAGTTTTTACTGCATGTTGGTCAGCAATAATCAGTTGCACATGCTGTACGCGTGTCTCAGCTGTGTTTATGTTCTTTCTTTTTTGTGTGTACAAACCACAGCCTCATGTAACCAAGTTCACGATCGCAATATGTTATGCAATGATGTAGGATTCCCAGGAATGCTCACCGTGTGTTGGGTCACAGTCACATAGAAAAGTTTGTTTAATTGAAAGGGGCAATTTACCAAGAGCCTGAGTCACGATAATCTGAGATTATTTTGTATATTTTCTTAAGAGCCATACTAGTGGAAAAGTCATCATCTGAATCCTTTTCAGTTGACAATGCAGATCAACCAAGGTAAAAGTAAACATATAGAAGTATTTCCTTTTTAAAAATTTGCTAGCTAGTGCATGAAAGTACACATGAAGGTTTTCTGCTGAAAAGGCAGCTCTGTGCCAATGGCCTCGGGTCCCCTGACATGTAGGGCACCCAGATAAGGACCAGGGATCATAGCCTTCTTCGCTACGAAACTGATTTTTCAGAATGTTTCCTCTTTTCTGCATAAATACAGTGAAGGAGATGCAATTATGCTAGTGAGGAATGATGTACAGGACTGAACACAGACTAGCCAGGGGATAGAAACATCTAGAATTATTAAGTATGAAGAAAACCATGGGCAAGGCATAGTATCACCAACATGACTGTTCTACCAGTATTCATTTGATTCACTTTCTCAAGAGTTAACTGGTTTAAAGATATTTCATCTAGCTCTACTAGCAAAAAAAGTAGTAAATTCAGAATCTATAATTAATGATTTAAGGTTGTCTGGAGTTGGAGCCTGGAGTTGGAGCCTCCAACTGGATTTGGAGTTGTCTGAAGTTCAACCGAAGTACCAAAAAAAAATTGCTGACTATCATTTGAGAGTCATGATTAATAAACCTAAAGGAATAGCTGAAGAATTTTCAGCAGACAACTTGTTTACATATAGTTGTCTCCCATTTTAAAAAATCTCTTCTTAAAACAGGCTTAGGAAGAATAGGAATTAGTTATAAATTATGTTTGCAATTTTAGGTAATAAAACTGTATTTCTTTTTAAAGACTGTGATGGTGATTGAATATATGAAGTTTTTCTTTAGGAATTGGTTTCTCAAGTGAACTGATCTGCATAATAGAAATTATAAAAACCATTGTAAAATATTTATATAACATTTTGGAAACCTTCTCAGTTACGTTTTTTGGATGTAGAGAAGGTGAGATACTTACAAAATAGAATTCTAAGTACAATAATATTTTAAATAGAACTCCCAGGATGCTTACAATTTCATTATTGCAACAGAGTAATTGAATATTTACTTTTTTATTCTTATCATGTGAGGGGTTAAATATATGTAAGTATAAAATCCTATGCTCATTCAGCAAACACATTTATAAAATGAGGAAAATGTAATTATTATCTATTAGTTTACTATCCAAATATGCTCTGCCTATAAATTTTATCCTAATTTTTAAAACCACTTCTTGCTTTATATTTGCAGAAAGAAGGATTGTGGACAGTATCGCATCTCTTTATAGGACTTGGGGAAGCACGGTTCCATAGAAACTGTGATACCACAACATGTGTGCCGTGTGCTTGTGTGTCCAAAGCCAACCTATCCCCACTTTACAGGGTGGGAAGACATCAGGTGATGTGAGCAGGGAGAAACCATTCATGGAAGACTGAGGTTTACACAGTTACTGCCCTTCACGTTCTTTCCCTTCCCTCCCTTGTACTCCTTCCTTTTTTGTTTTTAAATAAAAAAAATCTTCTCAACTTTCAAAAATAGCTCCAATCTCCATTTTCTATCAAGCCAAGTAAAATGAAATCTCAACCTGTCAAACATTCGGAAATTATTGTGAAGATATCAGATGCACCATCGAGAATAGAAAAATGCGAAGTATGAGTTCATTTCTACGCCCCGATCCCACTGTTGTCAGTTACTTATTGAGCGAAGAACACATATCTTTTCTGGCCCTCGAGATGATACCTGCTAACATTTATTAAGCCCTGCCCTCTGTTACACACTTTACCACATTATTTCATAGGACTTTCCCAGCAAGCCAAGAGGGCTGGGACTATTATTGTCCTTTTTTACAGAGAAGGAATGGGATGTTAGAGAATTCAAAATCTTAGCCCATAGCCACATTGCTGAGAACTGGCAGGCCCCACATTTGTACCAGGAGGGAAGAATACAACCTGTATTCTTTACCCCATTAATAAAAACAGCCAAACACTGCACATACGTGTACCAGAGCTTGGGATGGCGGCTCACGGAATGATTTTTTCCATTAGTTGGAGTGTCTTTTGTTGCTGATTTACTCAAAAGGAATTCTTGAAGCTTCTGCTTTACTTCTGTACTTGCCACTGCCCCTGAAACACACACACACGGAAACAGATGCGATTTAGAGTTTCGTCCTTTCATGCTTCTAAAGTATTTAGCAAAAATTAAGATGTACCGCCACTGGTCACAGCATATGAAGTTTCCCTATTAAAAGAAGAAACCTGAGTCTAAACAGGCTTTAGAAAATGGCATAGTAAGGTTTTGGAACTACTGATGAAACTGCCAATTTTCAAAAGACCTTCCATGATTTCCTTAATTGCTTTTGCAGAAAGGGGGTCCCAGAATTAAGACTAATTTTTCCTAAGCTTTAATAAGGCACTGCTAAGAAACAAAACATTGCCTTTTAAAAATCAAGAATTATGTATGTGAAACCATATAAGTGATTAAACATACAGAATGGTCATTTTTGAATCACTATTATGAAAAACTAACTTTTTAAAAAACTCTTTTGAGCATTCAACAAGTAAATACTGCTGACAATTTCAGTTCAAGTCACCCAATTTTAAACCTTGCTACACAACCTAATTTTGAACTGACCTCATACAGGGGAATTATTTGGATCTGTCTCCCTCTTGTGGATAGTTGTTTTTTTGTTTATTTTGGTTTTGTTTTTTGTTTTTATACAACTACTCTGCCTTAAATCTTCCCAAGGTCTTGGAACTCAAAAACCAAAGAGGCAAGGCCTGAGTTACAGAACAGTCGTTACTTGAGTGGGAGAAAGGCATAGTGAGAAATATGGAAGTACGTTCACTATTAAACAATCAGGCATAGGCAAGACTGCTGTACTGTGACATTAGTTTTGAAATTCAAAAAAACAGAAATTAGTATCTTTGCCAACCAATGTTGTGTTTACTTCCTGAGATGCTTTGCAGACTGAATGCAGAGAGCTGACAGATGAGGTCAAAGCTCTACATTTGGGTCCATAACGTATTATTCTTTTAGTTAAATGCAGACAGTTTGACAAGTTTAACTCCGCTCTTTCTCAGGCTTCTTGTTTTGTGTGGCGATCAGGTAAAGGTGAGGGAAGAGAGTCCATCTTTGCCCCCGGTGCCTCTTACTTTCTCGTCCTCTGTCTTTGCCTCTGAGAGCAGGCAGCTGCTGTTCTCGGCGATGCCTCTCTACTTCCTGTTCTTGCCTCTGCTGCTCCAGTTTCTGCTCCTTTTCTAGGAGTTCTTGCTGCTGTTTTATGGCTAGAAGTTCCTGTTGCAACTTGCGAGAAGAGAAAGACATGAGAGTGTGCAATTTCTTTAAGCTTCATTGTCATCACTGACCAAAATCGAAATGCGACAAGATTTTGGAACTTCTTTGAATGTAGTTCACATTTTTACCCACTTTTTGATAAATTATTAAAATCTAAAGACAAGCACCTAATGTCATAAATGGTCTTAGTGGCATCAATAAGGCAGTTTTTAAGGAGCTTTATTCCCTGTTCTGCCCTGTCAAACACCGTTACCAAATTCACTCAGATCTTTAGTTCCCTGAGGAATTGTCTTTGTAATATAAAATATACAAAACAGGCAAACAGCGGAACTGTCCAGAGGTCTATTTTACCACTCTTCTCACATTGTAAATTAACCATTAAAATCTTCATTTTCTATCCTGAGAAATGGTGCGAAAATAAACTGATTTGAATGAGGAGAAATGAGTTAATTGCAGGGAAGTCTACCTGAAATAGAATAAATGTTAAGAATTTCCAAACTTGGCAGAGAAGGTTTTCAATAGATTAATACAGTCTATTATTCCAAATAGGCTCTTATCTCAAACCAGCAGACTAGTTTGCTCACCCAGCACAAAAAAAACCCCCTCAGATTAGAGAGGCTAGTGAAGAAGAAATCACTTCTGCCCTGGCTGGTGTAGCTCAGTGGATTGAGCGTGGGCCTGCGAACCAAAGGATCGAGGTTCAATTCCCAGTCAGGGCACTTGCCTGGGTTGCAGGCCAGTTTCCAGCAGGGGACTCACAAGAGGCAACCATATACTGATATTTCTCTCCCTCTCTTCTTCCCTTCCTCTCTAAAGATAAATAAATAAAATCTTTAAAAAAAAAAGAAGAAATCACTTCCACTAAACTGCACTTTGGTGCACTGTGGTCTGGTTGTCTGTATCCCTTGAATTTACTTCCAAACAATAAGTGACAATAATACGAAGCATTCTTAATACCTGTTGTGAGATGTCAGTTTTCTCTCGGACTGAGAAATGGACATCTATGAATCACAGTCAATGTGTTCTACTGAAACGCTGACATTACTATATCTGAGACCTAGACCAGTTACTACACTACTCAGAGCCTTGGTTCCTCACGTGCAAGACAGAGAAATAATTGCACTCGCACCTCATGTCCATTAAGTACATGAAACTGAGTTTGTAAATTTCCCCCCCTACTCACTTTAATTATTATTACTATTTTCAACTCTCAATACCACTGATGTCAGTGTAATGTGCTTTTTATATTAGATAGGTATCTAAAGATATAAAACTTATGCTCAAAAGTAATAGAGTAAAAAGAAAAGGCCATGTAGAATGGCGAGTTGATCTGGAGCAACTCCATCTGTTAATCCTGGTAGCCTCACTGTGAGGGTTAGGGTAGGAAGCATTTCTGGGTACTTGTTATATTAAAATCCTTGGCATTCTGGCTTTGATACACTGGTCCTTACTGGGTATTTTTAGATATTCTACTGTGACAGAAAAATTCATAACTTTGCTTAAATTCTGCCTTGGATGTTACTTCTGCACAGATATTGAGATTGGTTGAATTAATATAGTATTTCACCCAAAGCCCCGATAGAATTAAAATTTAATCTGTCTTTGGAATCTAGAAACACTCAAAACGCAAGTTCCACAGCCAGCATTCATTAATGGAGACTGCAGGAAGGCGGCTGAAGAAAACAGAAAGAGAGCTTCAGCACTCGTTTCAGTTGAGGAGACAGGATGGGGAACAGCTTCGGAGACAGACAAGGCAGGGGCACAAACACTGGAACCACCACTCTCTGGCTGTGTGGCCCTGGGCAACTCAGAATATTTCTTTCTGCCTCAGCTTACCAGGTGAAAAAATGGGATAACCGCATTGAACTCAACAGATGTTCATTGCAGAAGCCAGATGCATAACAGTAATATGAATGCTAATAACATTACTAGTAAAAGGAAAAGGTAGAGCCCTGGCCGGGTGGCACAGTTAGGTGAAGCTTCGTCCCACACACCAGCAGGCTGCGGGTTGGCACCCCAGTCAGGGCACAGACCTGGGCTGCGTGCCTGACGCCTGGGTGAGGCACACACAGGAGGTAACGGATTGAGGTTCCTCTCACATCCATGTGCCTCTCTCTCCCTGCCTCTCTCTCTCTCCCTGCCTCTTGCTCTAAAGTCAATAAACATATTCTCAGGCAAGGATTTTTTTTAAATAAAAATGTGTTACAGTTTACATTAGGTGTTGAAGAGTGTTATCTTGGAAAATAAGATAAAATAAGCATTTTAGTTTAAGGGTTTAATGAAATACCTTATAAAACAAGGGGCACAGGGAAGAAGACATCAATTCACCTTCTTAGACACGGTAACATTAATGTTGCACAATCACACAATATTGATACAAATTAATTATCTATGTGAACCCTGCATAAATGTGTTATTTGATATTCAAGGAATTGATCAAGCATCTAAATAAAATATAATGTGTGATAACATCAGGTAATTTATCATATTAATAAATTAGCATACTTAAGTCATTATGAAGGAGTTGAACATAACATGAATTTTTAATGAAAGTATTTGCTGCTTTATGGTACTTTCATAATAAACTCATATTAGATATTTATATAATCTGACCAAAATAGTTTTATTTTAAATGTCTTTGTCAAGAAGTTGAAAGGCATTTTAGAAACAAAGCTAAAGTAATAATTACCTCTGAATATAAAAGAGAAGAAATAGATACATAGACATCTAAAATGACCTGACAAGAAAAGAGACCATCATAAAAAATTCCAGGACATGGACATATTTTTCTCCCTAAAATAGTTTTAAAAACTTGAGTCTGAAATTGTCCACTACTCCCTACCTTCTTTTAATAAAGTATCATCTACAGTCTATTAGACTCATAAAAATATGTTTCAAATATATACAATATGACATCTTTACTATAAGAAATATTAGAGCTAACATCCTTTCAGATAATTAACATAAGCAGATTGTTTAAAAATATAAAATGGGTCGCCCGAAGGTCATGGTTCTCCTTGATGGAAAGTCAATAAGGCAAATGAACAGCACCATGCAGACGAGAATCTAAAAACAGGGTGTGAGGTTCCTACCCCTCACTATTGATGCCATAAACTGCAGGGTAAAAGAGTGGTGGAGACCCCCAAGAAGCCAGGCAGGTTTTTACTCAGCTTTCCCAGCACTTACCCAAGGTTTTCACCTATGCAAGCACAATTCCCTTCCAGCCAGACTCCCCTGTGTTAACCACAACAAACCTTCCCTCCTCCTTACCTCCCACCCTCCAGGGCTCCGTCTCAGGCCCATGGCACAGTGCAGGCTCCCTGAGTGAAAAGGTCAGAGGCAAGGAAACGTTTGCTACCTTGATGTGCTCCTGAAGCTGAGCCTGGTGCTGCCGTGTCAAGTTCTCATGCTGTTTCTGGAACTCTGCAATCAGGAGCTGCTTCTGGATCTGTTGCTGTTGCTGGATGAGGAGTAACTCCTGCTGCAGCTGCTTCTCACGGACAACAGGGTCCACCACGGGCATCATCATCCTGAGGTCCGTCCTTAGGTCTAAAGGAGAGATGGGCTCCAGGCCCACAGGAGCCTCAGACTTTACATCCACTGGAGAAATGGGAAAAAAAGAAAGGGATGATAAAGATTAGGAACTTAGCCCATTGACTGGACACAGACCCAAAAGAAGACACCGTATATACCCTGTACAACAAATTTTACAACAACCAGTCTAGTCTTTTTTTTACAATGATGATCAAAGGTTGTGTGCATATACAGATGATAAAATATGCCATATGCTAATTTTCTCCCAGTCATTTGTACTCTGCCAAGAATCTTCCATATTTCCCTCTTTCAAAGAAATGACTCCAACTACTTACTGCTATCAAAGTTGTTCATAAAAGTTATTCTACTGAACCACTTACGAAAGTCAAGTCAACTTAGGACCAAAAAGGCAACTCTACTGAGCAAAAGATGTCATGTTTTAATAGAGAAATTCTAACACAACGCGATTTGTGAACTTGTAAACATTTTTGCTTGTAACTAGAGTCTGAAGACACAGTCTAAGATATATTCCTTAAAAAGCTGAAGCTTTGTACATACTGCATTTGTATGGCTATTGAACCCAGCAAAGAACAAATACAAATCTGCATGCTAAAACGGCCAAATGGTGAGTTGACTGATCGACCATGGCAAAGACGGCCAGGGCCAATCATGAATGAAAGCAGCCAACTCTTGGTGTGCTGGCTTTTAAATGGCGATGATCTGCGTGGCAATCACTTTACTCCTAAACTAAACAAGCCAGAGAAACCATGAGGAAGTTTAAAACAAATATTCAATCAAGCTGCTGGATAAAGAAAGATCTGATAATCTGAGAATAATTATAGACATTTAAATTTATAAAAATTAAATTAGATAGAGTGTATAACACTCTTCGCACAACTTCTGTTAGAGGATGCCCAGGAGTGCTTATCCACACAAAAGGGCACCGATGGGGTAGGCGTGCAGACCAGTTGCTCACGGCTGGTGTCCACTTTGATGAGTCAGGCTCTGTGCCACACTGGTCATTCAATACTGCGAATATCACCTGGCCCACGGGCATCAAGAAAATTACGTAGTTAAAAACAAAGAAAATTATGCAGTTGAATGAAACAGGGTTAGGTAAAGATAATAGGGATTTTGGAGGAAAAAGACTGTGGCAAACTGGATTAATGGCTTCTCTACAGTGGTCAACCACTATTATTGGGATCCAGACAATTGCTGGTGAAAAAAAACAACAAAGAAAGATATACAGATCCATAGTAGAGTAGAGAGATGCCACCTAAGTTTCAGTGAAAAGTAACTTATAAGATCTAAACACCATGAGAACAACAACAAAAAGCTTCTGTAAGTAAACATTGATGTGCAGGATGCCAATTTCAACCTCTGCTCTAAAATCTAAATCCCTCCTCCCATCCTTCTGTCCTTTCAAATGTGTTAGCTGAGTATGTTATTTAAATTGTCTAGGACTCAGTTTCCTCCTATGTAAAATGGAGATAATCACAGTGAACAGTGACGACAGAGTTGATAAAAGGATCATTCACTAAAAGACTGACAACATTAGCACACCCCTCAATAAAGGCTTTTGGTTTTTTTACTTCCATTAAAATGGAAATTTCCTGTATATGAAAATAAATCATCAATACTGTGTGGCTAACAAAACAGAAATATTAGGAGACAGTATGAAAATAAAATTGTACGTGATTTTTGTTACACATCAGAAAGTAAAAACACTAACAGAAAATGGAGAAATAAATGCAGAAACATAGCTAAACAACTCAAAAAACTCTCCTTCTCTAGTAGAAAAATGCACATTTTAAGTCAAAATAAGTCATCATTTTCTAATTATTAAATATCCTATGTATGATTCATGTATATGCATATGTGTGTATACTGCCCCATTGTAAAGGGTAGGCACATGAGCAAGTACATGACTGCATATTGCAGAAGGGTGGGCACGTGACCAAGTACACAACTGTATATCACAAAAGTCAACTGGGTTCTAAGTTCTGAAAAACAATTTGGTGATTTGTATGAAGAGGCATTAAATATTTCTGCCATTTGATTCAGGTTTGCTGACTGTAGGACTATATCCTAAGGAGATAACAGTAACAGAGAAGAAAGAGTTTGATGCTATATGTTTACCAAAGTGTTATTAGTTTAATTGAAATCATCAACTACAAGGAAAATATGTCATGTCCATTTGGTGTAAAAACATTCAATCACTAAAAATAGTGTATGTGGGAACATGAAAAATGTTGTTACAACACTCAATTTAAAAGAGTAATAAAAGTAATGTGTATCCTATGATACCTTTTTAAACTAAATAAATAATTTAAATTAGTCAATATACATTTATTGAGAATGTTAAATTCCCAGGCATGATTCTAGATGTTGGGATTTAGTATTAAAACAAAAAGGAAACAAATTCCAGGCCTCACACAGCATATCACAGCTACTGGGGTTTTAATCATATTAGTTTCTGAATTCTACTGGCAAAGATTGGTGAGATACTGAGCAGAAGATGGTTGTATTTAGGGTGGAAATATGAATACTTTCCCCCTCGACTTCACTGTATTTTTCCAAATTGCATCTAATGCCTGACTACTACTGTAAGTAACTCAGATTTCCAGATTTCCAGATTCCAGGTTGGGAACCACTAAGTTAATATTCCATCTGGATTTAAGAGCTATTTTCAGAGAGTCAAGAAAGCCAAACAGAAATCCTGTGTATAAGTTAAAGCTGCAAATACTAAAAGAAACATTATTGCCCTTGCTTATCATTTGAACTGCGTGTGTGCACCTGTGAACGGGGGTGGGATGGGGGGCTGGTACCAGTCTTGGAGTGCCAACACAGGTTTTTCTTTCAATGTACTTACTGATCAGAAGCTTATGTTGATAATAATGCCACTTTAATGACAATGGTAATACAATTTATTAATATACCGTAGTTTGGTGGACAATGTCTTTTAAATCATGTTTGTGAAAGGAAAGCTATTAATTGAGCCAAGTCTGAAACTAACTGAGGATGATGCCCGTAAGCTCTCTAGTTGCAGGGTCCAATGTGGAACTTGCAATCAAGGCACTGGTGGAACATGAGATTTTGAGCATTAATTTATAGAGTTGGCATAATTCCAACCAAAAACAAAGGCTCTCAATTATATATTTCATTTTTACATTAAAAAGGCCAAACTGCAGCCTCCAGTTTTTACATGAAAATGCCGATAAACAAAAATCAGAATTTAACCATATACGAATTTAAAATATTTCAAGAGACCCTAGGGTCTCTTCTTGTTGGTATTCTTATTATCCATGAACTGTAAACATTGAACCCCTAAAAATCCTCTCCAAAAAAGATAAGGAACAAAAGTCCCAGAACCCTCCAAAGCAGCTATTGTAAACCTCAAAGGGTAATTTGACTTCTTAACCTGCTATCCCAACAGAAATGATTGTGTCTAACTGCTTGCCTTTGTTCAGAGACTAATCACTAAATTGTGAAAAATCACCCTCAACTTACAAAAACTGCTCTTGATTATAAATAATTGCCCAAGACTGAGAGAAAGCGGCAGGCAAGATCCCAGCCTTTCATCCAATTTATTCAGCAGCAATCCACATTCCATTTGTCTAGACTAAATATAGCAGCGTTTATACAAGAAATCAATAGTGCTTGCAGAGAGGAGAGCGAAGCCATGAATATTTCATCAAACTCAGAGAGAAATGGCAATCAGCAAACTGACGGTTCTGTGTAGGTCATCTTTGGCCTGCTGGATTAGTGCCTGCCGCTTGGACAATAGCTCATCTCTAGCTAATCATAATCGTATCATAGCCATTCTTTCTATTTTTAACATTAATTGCGCTGTGGGTGACAAAGACTCATCGTATTCCAAAAGGAATGATGGATTTTTCTTATGTGTTTGGTGACAGGCTAATAAGCGTCCCCAGGAGCAATGATAGTAACACAATACGGGGACTGAGTTTTAACCAGTCACGGTACCTTTCATATCACAGAGTGTGAAAGGAAGGGCGCTGTCCACAGCTGCTGTGTTATCATAATTAGAAGTAATCAACTCACAAGGAATAATTAACAGCCCATTTTAACAGCGGGGAAATGGAATCATCCCTGTTCACGACACGTCTTGTCTGAAAACATGCAAATTCCTTACAAATTACTTAGAACAGGTGGCCAGTGATACATAAATTAGAAAGAAGCCGATGACAACAAATATTAGTATTAGCATTACTTACAAATGAATCATGTTTTCTTAACAGATCTCAAGACCTCCTAGCTTTATTTGACCTTACCCAGTTTGTCTGATGTTTCAAACACATGACAACATATATGTTACATTCCATGCATGCTAGTATCCTAATACCAAATGCCCATTCAGAACACTCCCACATCATATATTAACTCGTCCTCATTACCATTTCACAAAGCTCTGTTCATTCTTTCTTCTGTGTCTTTCTTAATTATTCTTTGAAAATTATTCCGTTTAGCATTTATCAACTCATGCAATTTTTTTGAAAAGTTTTTAGGTTTTAGTGACCAGCGATCCAAAAAGCTCCCATTTCAAAATAAAAATCTTGGACCATATAGAGGCATATTTACATTTATTTAAACAACACGCATACCTGTTCATCTTAAATTAAATGTTTGTGACCGATGTTTTTCTTTCAAATATCAAGGCTGTTAAAGAGACAGTTTGGGCTACTGAGAGTAATCTAGTAGCCTTGGAGTGTCCTTTATGTCTCTGCTGTAGATGCTGGTATGTATGGCACAGGTGTGTGGGGAGAATTTTCCTCTGTTTGAAAGCAGGGATCTGTGGTCGCTACCACACCAGCTGACTTACACAGGAAGCCTTCCATTTTAAGAATGTTTTAAGTGAACAACTTGCAAAACCCATGGGTGAAAATATGGTAAAGTGCACAATTTTGACCATTTACAACAATCACAACTATGGCTGGAGACTGCTCATGTTGCTCCTCTGAAATGAGATCTATAGTCAGTGTAGCAGGAAATACAAGTTTCCATACCAAAAAAAAAGCCATAGGTACAATCTCATCACAAATTTT